AAACCTACAAGGCATATACAATAACATAACCATATTATATCTAGATTCTAGAAGATTTCTTCTTCACACACTTAAATTTTCGAACCGCACTAACATTCAAGTTATAAGGTTTTTAATATCCGAAGCACTTAAATTTCCTCCAGTGAAATTAAAATTTCAAAAATACCGTATAAATGTTTTTAAAATATCTTTTGTCAATAAACAGTTTGTCATGTGACCATTAGCTTCTCCTCATTGGTTCTGTACACGAAAAAATAAAGTTACAGTTCTACAACAGCTGATTATATCATGGCTGCCTGTAGACTAAAGCGATCGTCTCCCCAGTCGTAGTTATACTATATGACTCTTCTCCCCCTTCCATCGACTTTTAGCATCCCTATGAATATTAATTAGGATAACACTAACTTGGCGAATTGTTGAAATACCATTCGTGATGACACCAATCAGCAGGAGATATAGAACCGTGTAAGAACCGTTAATCGAAAATGTAACAAACTTATGATTTTTTCAATAACCTTCTAAGGCCTTTATGTACGGTCCCCAGCTGTGGACGAGCTGTGTTGTGCTATGTGTTTGCGTTTATGCTCCACCGGGTCGACACTAACAGATTGCGGTATCATGTTTATGCAAAATAGCCTATCCCGGCCGTTTAGTGGGTTTTCAATCATAATAATATTATGAAACGCGCCGAGCCCGCCAAAATCATTCCAATTCATTTCGTTTTTTTATTTCCATAACGACTGGTCGTTTTTTACTAGTAAACGCCGCCGCCGCCGCCCGCGCCATCGATCAGTGGAAGACCTGAAACGAGCCGGAGTGGAAAACATCACGCCGTGGAAATAAATGGCTATTTTTCCCTCGAGTGCAGTGAATATAATACACACCGAAAATATATATATTTATAAAAGTGCACGATTAATAAGATTTCTTTGTTATTTTTTTTATTTTTGAGCCCATAGGAGGGTAAAAAAAAAAAGCATAATTTGTATACATGTCCGCCAGGTCCATCGGACGGCACAGAGTAGCTGGTATCATCTGGAAAACGGCTAATCGCTGATGAAACTAATGAATTTATATACATATAATATACATATATACTCAAGAGTTGAAAGGGTCTGCCGGGCAAAAGGATTTCCGAGCATAAGTATCCTGCGTTATTTTTAGGGCAATTATTTTCATTTAATATTTCGTTCACGTTTATTAAACGTCCGCCATTCCTTCTCTTATTTCGCTGGTAAAAACATTTTTTATTGGACCGAGAAAGAGAAAAGTTTTAAAAAAAACACTTTTTTTTTTTTAATAATATGCATTATGCATCGATACTACAGTGCGCAATGTTCGAGGCTTTTAAGTTTTATGAATTAAAGAAAACTTGCAGAAACCGTTAAAAAGGTTTTAAGGCAAATCTGTAAACTAAAAAAAGACCCGTCAATAACACAAAAAAAAGTTTGGTTATTAAATTAAGGATAAACACTATCGAAAAATGATTTTAAAACTATAAATTATTAGATATTTTTGGATTTTATCTTTATTCTGATTATATTTCAATGATTTTTACTCATTCATTTTTTGTCGTATTTTTTTAAGTACTTACAGTTTTCTATAAGACAGTTATATGCTTCTGCAGCCAAAAAAAAATATCAAACCGGAAACCTTGATTTATTTCAAATTTCGTTGTAGCAATATTTCTAAACCGTTGTATTTTTATTAAAATAGAAATAACGATGTTAATTTCATATTAAGTTTTAAATTTAATATCTTTTTTACCTCGAGTTTTTTTAAGCATTTAATATTTAGCCAATTTTCTATAAAATTCTATATGGAAATAATTTAATTAAGTATGCATGTTAAGTATTCATTGTGTTAAAATTATAAGGGATAAAATATTAGGTTTATTTTTTGAGTGTTTGAACCCGGAAGTAAAACTGAATCTAAGCTTGTCAAAAAGTGAGTTGTCTTTTCGGAGGACATAATATGATATGTACTTTTTTCTAGTTTTATAAATTTGAATTTATGACGATGACGCTATTAGGTACATAGATAAGGTTTTTTTTATCATACGATTGTCAACTACGAACCATACATATGACTCAGGATATTTTTATCTCAGTTCGTAATATGGTAATTTGTTTTGATAATATGATTCACGTAACACAAATTATGTAACTATAGATCAATATCACTAAGTCTAAATTATTCAATATTTAATTTTAACGAAGTTATGTATATTCGATTAATGTAATAAATCATTCAGCCAAGACGCGTTGCAGTGGTGGTCTATAGATTTACTCGGAACGAACTAAATAATAATTTTTATAAAGTATAAAATATGTTTGATACATTTGAATATAACCAGTTTATACGGATTCCAATGAAGTCTTTCGTTTTATGTCAAAAATCCTTCCAAAGTAAAGTAGAGTAAAAAACATTAAGTGGTTGATATTTGTTTTTTAGGTAGGTATTTGCATTAATATTTCATAAAGTGTTTCAGTTTTCGTGTTGTATTACTAGTTGAAAAACACCAAAATCGCTAAAAAAAAATGGAGGAAGATTCAAACATTTTCTAATTTTATAAATATATGTTAACTAGCAAATTTCTTAAACTTATTTTCTAATTAACGAGAAATTTTACTTTGTTTTTATTACATCCGCTAAACTATAACAAATGCTTGTAGAAATTGAAAGTGTAATACCAGGCTACAGTATAGTTGTACCATTTTATGGACAATTACCATTAGTATTTACCAATCTTACAATAGGCCAGGTTTTACGATAAATGACCATAGCTTTTATTTCTTCTTAAATACTATATTGTATATTACGTTATATTTAGATAATATAATGCGATTTGTCACACTATTTTGTAAAATCTATACTGTTTTTTACAATTAAACATGGTGTTACATTTATTTGCTAATGTTACTTATTAAATTACATAAAATAGTGCCCCCTGGATTAATACATACCTAGTTAATTTAAATAATTGTTATTTTACTGTGACCGTAGACCTTTAATTTAAGTTATACTTGTAATACTTCTTTATTTTGATTTAAAAATATACTATTTTTTATGTAGGTTATCATTTTTCATCGACCGGTAAGTTTCAATCTTGCAAAAGCTCATATTGTACATAACAGGATATTACTGTGATAAAGTGGATAATATGATAATATATCATCAATTCCAAATCTGAAACCGCAATCCATTTGTTGCATCGTATATGTCCTAATGGCTTATTGTAGAAAACAAATATGTAGCGCCATTAATCCGTCTACTATTTTTCGACCTAACTAGACTTTTCTTTTGGGTTATTTTCTCAAAACGAAAACATCGTTCTTTGACTGTATTATATTTTATTCGTTATTTTATTATAATATTCGTGACCGTTGCACATTTTCTCTCTTATATTACGGGCTTTTCCGTTAAATAATAAATGACAGTTTCAGTGTACTTTTTTATACTTTTCCAATCACAGCGGTGCTATGACAACCGTGATAAAAACACAGGACAGTAAATAAATTGATCACTTGTTACTAATACCTTTACCCTTGTTGCTGATCGTCTGTAATCGGGTCAGGTGAGGTAATTTTGATGAACTGGGGCAGTAATGTAATTGACATTTAGCTTTTTGTATGACCAGTAATATTTTCGGAATGTAGTCATTCATTATTTGATACAATTATTACAACAGCAAATGAAAAACAAATTTTTTTAATTAAAAAAAAAAAGTTATTTGTAAAAAAAAATCACACATCGTGTGACATTTATTTTGGCACATATAGTACATGCCTTAACTCGACCTTCCCACGATAAAAACGTTTAAATATATGTATTATTTTTATTTCGCCTTCTTTAAAACTATGTATTTAATTTTTAACTTCGATGGTCTTTTTAAAAAATAATTCCCCTTTTTAAGGGGTTAAGTATAGGCAATTTTTCATTCAGAAAATTTATTTTAAACATTAAAACTACAGTGCATTATATGTGTTAATATAGCAATGGCCAATGAAGATTCTTTTTTGATATTTCATTACTTTCTTTATCAAAATAACCACAACTACATGAAACGTTTATTTAAAAAAATCTATTCTTTTTTCCATGTATAAGGCATGTTTTTAAGCAAAAAAACACCTTAATATAGGTTTTGCATTTCCTAGTCAGTCGGTAGCCGTACAATAGACAGCTGCACTTATTGTGTATCCGTTGCGGATAAAAAATATATATATAACCTTGATATTTAATGCCGGTTTACAATAGATCTATTATATTAGATATTTTAACAAGACAAATATAATATAGACACTCTGCGCCGCGTGGACGTATTTGATGAGATTTATAAAAGAAAAGCAAAGGACGTGAGTGTATCTCGCGCGCCTTGTAAGTCTGAATAATCCTTGGAAAATTGAAATCGTGATGTTTAAGCTACTGTTTCGTGTCTTTTTCAGATACGAAAACGTAACCGATTTTTAACACTCGGCTATTAAAAATGAACCGTACACGTCTCGTTTAATCTTAACATACACATAATATGGGATACAATAAAACACTATGGGCCGCGTCTCGGGCACTCTCAGCTTTGACAGAATTCAGCTATTATAGTATAAACCTTAACGTTTTTATACTGTTGAACGTTGAGTATACCCGCGTGCACGCATACAATGCGATATTTCACTTAACGTCGAGTATATAGATCAAGAACAATATCGTCGTATCGGTTTGGTCGTTTGTTTACCGTTTCGGCACAACTTTTGAAGGATTACAGATCGGAAATGATAATTCGGATTTCCTGTTATTTTCATTTGGGCAACCTTCGGCTATCGGAACCAAGCCTCTTTATCATATAGTAGACCTTCGTATCCGGATCAATGTTACGCCAAGATCCAGACCACGGTCGAGGCCATGACATCGGCCGGTAACACTTGAACATGAAAACCGAATAGCAAATCTTTGTCGGCGTGCAAATCAAACCGTTTATTATCATTGAAATTCAACTCGGACAAGTAACAGGTGTTACTCGATATGTACCAATGATTTGTGTGAACTTATTTCCTAGGCTGTTCGGCGAATATCGGACCGCACGCTATCGTGGAAGGCGTTTTCGCATAGCTACCGTTGCCCGCTGCTGTTACCACTAGTCCTCTTCCCAAGATGTTTGTCGGATGGCCTGGCACCAAAGAGATTCGGTCGTTGCTGTAATGAAAGTCGGCGACGCTATCGTTGTCGGCGTGTACCCGACCTAAATCACCCGCTGGCTTGTTAGCCCTCGGCCAACCATAGTCTTGACCCTGTAAAACCGAAACGAATGTCATAAAACGGTTTTTATTATGTTTACACAACATGCGAACACTATCAAGCATTCGATATTAAAATCATCCGTTAAGCCGAAAAGACTTGACAATCGATATTTTCAACTAAATTATGATTACACTACAGTAAATAACCTCTAAAACAGCACAAAAGAAAAACAACAAGAAAACTTAAGATTTTTTTAACTACCTACAACAAATCGACGACAGTGATAAAAATACAAGTTATTAAATATCTCAAGATTTTAGTTGTATATTTAATTTGAATAATTATACATGGCTTTTATTTTTACTCTATAAAGCTCACTCAAAAATGATCACAATTTAAGCAGGGTCGGCATGGCTCGTAAATGGCCTCGGATACTAAATCTCTAAAGGGCCCCCAAAAACCATTTTAACTGTACAGTTTATATATTTTACAACATTTTTCAGTTGTTTTAACCAAGCAAATCCCACATATTTTGTTAAATATGCCCTGACCTCAGGGCCTCAACATAGCTGGGGACCCCGGCCGCGTTCGCCTAACCTAACCTAACCTAGCCCGGCCGACCCTGAATGTAAGCATATATATTTAAATTTCTTACGAAACATAAATCATTAATATTCCTGATTACATTTCCACTAAAAAATCTACTTTAGGTGTCATGTAGAATTTAATTCTAAACTACATGTAAATACTGAGGTTATTTTGCTTACAAACATACAATCGTTTATAGTATTATATCAACTACAGCTTATACTTTGTATCACTCGGTCATGTGCGCAAAGAACTCGGTAAACGATTCAATAACTTCAAAGTCAATTTCACCAAACGCATATTTTATAAAACCAACAAAATATACTAACAAAAAACCAAGCATACACTCATTTCCATACAACATTATTCGTTAAATCGGTTATATATTATATTCTACGGGGTACTGTTGAATTTTGAGGTTTTATGGATCGAGACAAATTAAGAATTAACACAAGTTGTATAGTAATAATGATGAAGTAATATTTCACTACGAATAATACAAAAAAGTGATAGTTAAAGACTTGTTCTACACTGTTAGCTTACATAACTAAGACACCCTCCGATAATTTTTTATTATATAACACCAAAGAATATTCTAGATACATTATTATACAAAAACAATATTACCATTGACGTCAATTAACGAGGTATTTAATTTAAACACTTTTGATTGGTTAATATAGATCTCGCCATAATATTATGCTTACCGAGAACACAAGTTTTTCTCCTTTCGACAATAAAAATGCGTACTTACAATTCAACGACGGATAATTATGGATAACACGTCGTAATGGATTTTTTCAAAAAACCCAAGTTTATACCAACAACTGATTACTGTCCACCTTGGCCCTACAGTGCTGGATTAGGATTTTACATTTACTGTGTAGCGTTAAGATAATAATTCTAAGGGTAATATCTGTACCGTTGAATGTGGACCTGCGTTAAGTGGTAAAATTAATGCAGAAAGACGTTAACTTACTGCAAAATGCATGCCCCAAATAGGCCCTGTCTTAGTACAAGCGTCGGCCATACTACCGAATTTCGTTATGAACAGACTGTACGCGCCAGCCCGTAATCCTTTCAGATTACCAACGATAAACACGGGCGATCGGTCGTGCGGTTGATAGAACTTAACTTGACCCTCTACCGACTCCGAGTTAAGCACAAACGCCTTGGCCGCCATGGTTTCATCGACGTGATTCTAGAAATAAGTACACACAATTGTATAAATGTCTCTTTAAAGCTTCATTTTAGCATTCAAAGGTTTCAGCATTTCCATGGAAAAAAAAATAACAATAATAATAAATGAAAAAACGGTTGATCTTTTGTTTGCAGAAAAGCATAATTGTTTTAACGTTTCGGATTTGACGGACGAATTTATTCTTTTTCAACATTTAACGACCGCCCCATGCTTTTAGCTGTCCGCTCATTTATATAATACAAATACAGAAGTATTTGGGTGCACCAAAAACACTGTTTTGCTGTATTTTAATTCCCCTTAACAAAACTGCGTGACATAATTTCTATGTATACATTTCAACCAGTGTCGACCGTTCCAGTTTATGGTTATATTATGCAAATTTCAAAACACAAAAGTTCTTACCACGGTTAATCGTCCTATCAAATCCCTCTCTCACGTCACTTCAATTAATTACTCAAAAACAAAACACCTTTAATAAGTGAAATAAATCTGCATAATATGTTTGGTGCATAATCATAACAGCTCTAGTCCTAGTAAATAGGATCATTAGAAACATGATTTAATTAGATTATTTTCGAATAATCGGATGAAACAAGAAGTCAGCTGTGCATAATATAAATAATAGCTACCAATATAATCACATATCACGTTGACACAGCTTCAATTTCACTGAAATGTTGTCATACCATATAAAAACGACCAAACTACTCATTGTGTTGCTTTAATATTGTTGTATTTGCCAATACAATTAGCTGGGGTAAACTCTACTAGGTTTGTTGTAATGCCATTTCCCCCATTAGTATTTAATCATAATAAATCCGGGGATATTCTATCGTGATCTGTAAGCTTATCTGCTTAATAAATTGTCAGTCGGTAAATTAAACAAAGTTACAACAATAGATTACACAATATTGTAGTTCTAGTTGTGACGGACTTAAAGGATCATTCTCTCTCGGGCGCTTGCCGATGCTGTTTTGCCAGCCACTTAACATAAACGATGCTTATCCAAATACAATATATATGTATACATGAAATAGTTTAGCATAATATTAATTTAAATATTTAATAGGAAACGCAAACGCTGCTTACGCTGAAACCTAATGGAATTGGATACGAATGGCTAACGACGTATGGCTGTAGAGGGATTTCAGGAGCAACGTAAAAGGTATCATGTTCATAGGCAATTGTTGTTGACAGTAGCGTCATCAAATGGCGGAATTCGATTGCCATCTGAAACAAATAAAAATAAGAATATTATAACAAAATTAATTTTCTGTAAGGAGCTGGTGCTGAGACTTGGTTGCCGCTTGTTGTATGTGAAAATACGAGCCAAGATTGAACGCGTCTGGTAGGCGGACGTATCTCAACAAACTGGTTTCTTTCGTGTAAATTAATTTTGTTAGCAAATTCGTTTTAAATAGCACTCTTGTAGTGAGGTATTTGAGCGAAAATGGCACACGTATAAAACATAATTATTAATACCATTCTAGTACACTCGTGATGGCTGGACACGTCCAAAACTGTTAACTTCGACAAAATTACACGTCGGACGATACAACAGTTGCTTGTAGTGCATAACGGTTGTACTTACAACGCTAAATTATATTTCAAAAAAAAAATAATAAACGTTCTCTTGGCTGTTATCTCTAAGCTCTACCAGATGGCTGTCACGCAGTCGTGTGATCCGAGAGGTTAAGGATGTATTTTAACACTTGTACTTAACGTTAAGTATCTCATTTGTTTCCTTAGTTCAGAACTATGCACTCACAACTTATAAATTTTAGAAAACTATGCAATAGGCTCTGCCAGATGATGTATAAAATAAATACAAATTTGAATATGCTCATTGCCAAATTATTAATCAAGGCTATCAATCCCAGTTGTTTATACTAAAATTCAAACATGTAATCATGTATTTACTCTTTAGTAGTATTTAGGTTAGTTTAAAATATTACTTATGGACACCTACATGAAAAGTGTTGCCAGTGAGATATTGTTATCGAGTGCGCATAATGTATAGTATATTATTCTTCAATGATGATGTTGAACGTCTTAAATTTTGATCTTTTATTTCGTTCGACAATGTCAACAACATTTAAAATTCAAATTCAAAATAATAATACTGCTTGCATGGCTCTAGTCCAGTTTACAGCTAACTATATTGATGGTATTTGAATAACCACATTTTACAAAATATTGTGATAATTAATATGACCGACACCTATCACTATTATCCCGAAACTTAGTTTAATTGTGTAGATTTTATTTTAAGACTCAATATCACTCGAGACGATATTAATCACTTTCAGTATAAGCTTTCTTAGAAACTATAATATTATGAAACTTGTATGCAAGCTTCCGTGCTACCATCGCGGCTAAAATTAATCTAGACTTCAATCTTCATTAGCCAGCTCGGCGTTTCGCGTTAGCTGTTTAAAGTTACTACAATGTTATTATTAATATTACCCCACTGTAGTTGTACTTACTTAGGAGCGAAATTCAGAATTTAAAAAAAACGATACATACATTATTACCGACGTTAGAGAAAAAATACAATCTCGACAAATGCGCTTATATTTATGTATGTATTTGTTTAATTAGATAATACAACATAAACGGTCAATAAACTCACATCAGTGTTGAGTCGGAGTGTTCTTGTAGATTTGATAGTGAATAATTATCAGCCAACAGTAAGATGATGATCGTCGACAACAACGCTATAGTAGCACTACTTGGAAAAGAAAACGGCCGTTTGCTGATGATAATGACAACATGTTAAGCAAACGGACATAATTAGCAACGCGTACCCAAGCAGAAGGCTGGCGACAATCTAAGTAGCTATCCGAAGCCATCTTTCATTAATGTGGTTTATGTTTTTTTCGGCATTGGACCGTATAGAAAATAATTACTAGGCACAGACATTTTTTGCAAGCTTCGGATGCAACCCAGTGCAGTCACATGTGACAATTAATACTATGTATATTATGTAGATACTCGAGTATTATGTTTATTTTACCATGCAGTATTATTATTAGCAGAATAAGCCTCTCATTTGTAACGCTAGTATGATTCTGCAAGTGTATGTTATTGACGGCGGTATATTCCTCAAGTAAATAACTAGGGAAAATGTGTACACGTATAAAAAAACATAGGCAATTCTACCAAGGCCAGTACAGATATATAATATGTACAAAATATAGATTAAGTATTCTGAAATGAACTCCGTTAGAATATTGTAAACGTATGATGAATTTTTTTTAAAAAAGTATCAATACCGAAAATTTATGGAAATAATAAAAACAAAACAAAAGGTATAGTAAAAAAATTGAGTTACTTTTAAAACATAATACAAAATAATATTAACCGATTCCCTCCCGCCTGTAGAACTACTATATGGTCGTGACGGGGAACACCTTGATCTAGACGGATGTAAAGATAGTATTATATTAATTTATTATTTTTCCTATATAATCTTAATTGGAATACATTATATTATAATAGCACACAACCCGTATTGAGAAGTCGTTAGTGTGAATTTTATGATCATGTTATGTAGTTACAATAACAACCTCGATACCATTATTTATGTCGAGCGGATAAACATCTATGGATTTATATTGTTATTATCAAGATGATGTTAGTTATGTTTGATATGTATTCATTTATTTAGTATTCTAACGTTTATATTGACCATGGACTACAAGACGCATAAATGCACTATGTCAATTTACCAAGATCAGCTGACACTGGCTTCCAAATTAAGTATATAATATTATATAGCTATTTCTAATTTGTAAAACATAATACTTAAAAAATACATAAATTGTTTTTTTTTTTCTAAATAATTTCTTTTATGCGATTTAAATTTACTAAGTTGTTTTTTCGATGATATTAATCTTATTAAAACACGTTTAATGCTTAAATTACTGTGTTTAGCTACAACGTCATTGTTGGTAGATTATTAAATGCTCATTAGTGTGAGCCTTATCATATATTGTATTACTAATTATCTAATCTCTAAATAATAAGAAATGTAAAATTAGTAAACTTTTTTTTGATGAACGGGTAAAAACCATTGTATTCAAGAACATTTTTAATATGAGAAATATTAGAGTAGGATTTTTTTTTAAATGATAAGTTACAACGTAGCCGTATTCAGGGGGGGGGGGTTCTGGGTTCGAACCTCCCCGAAATTTCATCGAAAAATATTTGTATTACCTTTCCTTTATGTATTTTGTTCCATTTTTTTTTAAAGTATTCCTGAAAATGATGTAAAAAAAAGAAAAATATTTTGATGTAAGTTTTCTTTTAACTTAAAAGCCTAAAATAGAATTAAATAATAATAAATACGTGATATTATCGTTATCACGCCAATGAATTTTAGTTTTTTTCGAATTTCGTTGGTGTACCTTATTGGAAGACGTCAATAAGGAGGAATACATTACTTATACCAAATCAAGCACTAGAAAAATGTCTAGAATTAACAAACCAGACATATAAAAAAATTGTTTTCAATTATTTTATTTCGAATTTAAATAATAAGAATTTTACTGAGCAGAGAAACTTAGTACAATTATTTCGTCTGTAGTTAAATCCGGACCCTTACAGCTGTATATAATTAAATTATTATTAATATTTAAAATAAATTACTACATGTTTTGATTACCGGTTACTTCGTATTAGGGATTGTATACTCGTTTCCAAACCACCTATGAGGTAGAGTATTTGGCTCGTTTTTTTTAATGTGGTATCTCCATCTACGATGATGCTCAAATTGTATTTATTGTACAACCACCAGAAATGTGTGGTAAGGGCGTTTCAAGTAATTGTGGACTTACGCATAGATGTCGATCCGGGCATACTTAAGACTAACTTAATGACTAACTTAATTACTAAAATAACCCGGTATCGACAGACTAGGCGGCCACACCACAGACAATGGTGGACTTACGCATCGAAGCCGATCCGGGCATACTTAAGACTAACTTAATGACTAAAATATCCCGGTATCGACAGACTAGGCGGCCACACCACAGACAATGGTGGACTTACGCATCGAAGCCGATCCGGGCATAACTTAAGACTAACTTAATGACTAACTTAAGACTAACTTAATGACTAAAATATCCCGGTATCGACAGACTTTGCGTATAAGAGAGTACGAAGGAGGTTATCCAGTAGGATCACGGGATAGATATTGGTAATTTGATTTACAAAAAAATCTTGTTGGAGTACAAAATGTTGTGACTTGATTAACTGGACTCAAATTTTAAAATAAGTAATTAATTTTTACTGAGCAGAAAATGTGAGAGGTTTATGAACTATAACGAGAACGACTACAACGCGAAAGTGAGAAGTTACAAACGAAAGAATTGTTAAAGTAGTTTAGTTCAAATATCTGAAATGACAATAGTGCTAAAATGTGTAAATTTACTTAAATAAATAAATTATAATTGTGCGGTTGTCCAAAATAATTTAGAAAGGGAGAATTGAGAGTAAAATGGCATCATCGTACATAGACCTAATCCACACAGTACTTGACTTAGTAGAGGGGAGGGGAGGTAACTCTATTGTTTAGATATTTTAGCGTAGGTACCTACTAAGTATCTTTATTTTACTTCCAAGTGAGACCAGAATATATTACTCAAAAATGTATTGATTTAGTTGAAAAAAATATTTCCAATTATTACACTCCCTTTTTATAAATTCGTCTGAGGAATACATTACTTATACTAAATCAAGCACTAGAAAAAGGTCTAGAATTAACAAACCAGTCATATAAAAAAAAATGTTTTTTCAATTATTTTATTTTTAATTTAATATGTAAGAATTTTGCTGAGCAGAGAAACTTAACAAAGTACAATTATTTCGTCTGTAGTTAATTCCGGACCCTTACAGCTGTATATAATTAAATTATTATTAATATTTAAAATAAATTACTACATGTTTTGCTTACGGGTTACTTCGTATTATTTATACTTATTAGGAAATTTATGATCGACCGTCACGTGTAAATAATTGCACTTGAATCTAAAAAAAAAAATTAGCATAATATTAGTAAATAGTATTTAGTAATAACTGGATTTGGACTTTAGATTTGGTACCTAAATTATTATATATTAAGAGATTTCTACACAGCATGCTGGGTTTTTGCATTACCTACTCACTGAAGCCCAAATGTGAAAACGCCCTGTTAGACTCTCAAATGCTTAAATTAATTCACCAACTTTTAAAATTCCAAGTGTTCTTATAAAAGTTTTCTTTTTTTTTTAAACAGTTATTATAAATAACAATGAGAGAGAAGATCATATTGCTGTATTATGTTACATAATATAATAACTGTATGTGTTCGAAATATCTACCATCAAGTCTCCAGGCGAAACCCCTTTTGAGTTTTTTGTCGTCTTCGGATTTTTTTTTGAAATAGCTTGAAGTTACGTCCAAACTTATGGTAGAACATGACAGTAATATTTAAGTCGTTCGAAAAAGTAATTGTTTTAACGTAAAAGATATCTGCAGAACGCTTCGACACAATGCATATTGTTCGCTGAAAATATTAAAATCTAAGTATTGACTTTTAATATACTATCAATATACAATTGCTACGTCTTGTTATTCAAACAACAAGCAGAAGTTAACATAGAAACGAATTGTTTTCAGCAGTTAAAAACTCACATAGAGCCAGCAAAGGTTTGCAAATTTTATGTTCAAGGAGATCCTATATTATATTATATATAATAAAGGATCTCTTTGAACACAAAATTTGCTTTACATTACTTATATTAATACCCTAGTTATTTCAAACCGATCTCCACACGGACACGGATAATAATACATTTCTTCATCTTCATCATATTTAAAATCTTCTATTTCTACTTCGTCGTGATATATGGACATCTGAAATAATTACCTAAAATAAAAAAAATTATCAAATTAAAACTTTCTTTTTTTAGAATTATTCTGGTACATTTTAAGCTTTTAAGAACTAGAAAAAAAATAACGGAAGAAAACAGAGTTGGGCATCTTACACCTTTACCTTATACAAATATTGAAAAAAATGTTCAGATGTAAAGTTTGGTTAATGTTTTAAAATAAGACTAAAGTAAATCTGATGTACATAATCTGTTACAACCCCTTTCAACTACCTTTTTGGATTTTAGATTTTTTATATTCTGCTTTGCTCTAATCAGACTAAATGTATCACTGCGAAAAATATTGGCCTTAAAAGTATTAAAAAAATGAGTTGGATATGTTTTTAAAATTAGTGTAAATAAGCCAGCGCGAGTTCTTATAAGTTAGACCATTTTCTAAAATATTTAAGTCTTCTATTCATGCAAGAACTGGATGCTTACAATATAAAAGACACTACATTGATGTAATTTGTTTAATTAAACGTTTCTTTACTCACTTGTTTGGTAGCTGCACTATGATGAATGGTTGCCGAAGATAGTAGAAAAAATTACACTAATTATATATTTAAGATTTTGATTAGGTAGTTTTAACAAGGGTTCGAGTTAATTTTATATTTGTATTGCTATAAGCTAGGGTTTTATATTTTCATTTGAGGTGAAAGTATAAACTATAAGACATAATATTATATAATAGACTATAATATTTAAGCTTGCAGCCGTAAGCCTTAAAAAACACGCCTGTTGGAAGTAGACGATAAAGACCCAAACGGCGCGAGGCAATTCAATTTATTTCACAACTTAACATTTTCTCATCTTATAACCGTCACCTATCAGTATTTTAATAATAAAACCATTTATATTGCTTAAAAAATATCATACAAAAA